ACATGGATATATGTGTACATAGCTGGATGGATACATGAATATATGGATGGGTAAATAGCTGGATAGATAAATGGATGGATAGGTGGACAAGAAGACAGGCAGACAGACAGACAGATAAATAGGTAGATGGATGGATGGATACACAGATGGGTAAATAGATGGATTAATATATAGGTAGATTAGATAGATAGATGGATAGATAGATAAATAGATAGATAGATAGATAGATAGATAGATAGATAGATAGATAGATAGATAGATAGATAGATAGATAGATGTATACTGTATAAAGCTCCAAACTGCACTGAAGACCTGAAAGCTAAAACTCGTGAAGTAACTGGTCAGCTTTAATTCACTGTAATTTATTTATGATTGTAAATAGCTTTTTCTTTTTAATGATTTTTGTGTATTTTAGAAGCCTGTAAATTGTTACCATTGTATTGTATTGTTACCATTGTAATGGGAAACCAAATCCTTTTTTTTTCTTTACATTATCATACACATCACCCAGTAATTTTGCATAACATTAATTTATACCTTGAACCCCAAAAGACTTACTTACATTTTTAGCTCAATATGTTGTTTGTATAAAAATTACAGGCTTGTGACCTTCATTATAAAACATCTGCCTGTCTCATGCTGTCAAGGTTACGTGTAGATTCTCAGACAAAAAAAGGAAATGCATCTCAGGTTCCACTGCAGAAATCAAACCAACTTCATGAATGCTATGGTGTTTTTTAAGTGGAAAGAACAAAGAAAAGGAAACTTCTGCAGATGAACCACTCAGATTGTACTAACTCCCTGGCACCTTACAGAGCTGCTTGGAGAGAATTTTTAAAAGAGCAAAAATCTTCTGGATCCAGTAGGCACAGGTAAGAAATTCCTTGATGTCAACCCTGACCCATAGTGATTTATGCGCACACATTATAGAGTGTGATCACTCAAAGGAATGGGTCTTTTTCTGCTTATGAAATTTGGTCCAATGGGACTTCTCAGAGTTTGTGATCTACAAGTAATTAGGTGTGATAATATTTTGTTCCTATATTGCATACAATACAGACATAAGAATAACTTTGGATCAACCAAAAACTTCCTTAAACAGGTCTGAATCTTGTTCTATTCCTTTTTCTTTTCCTTTTTTCTTTTCTTTTTTTTCTTTTTCTTTTACCTTTTCTTTTTCTTTTTTTTTTCTTTTTTTCCTTTTTTTCTTTTTTCCTTTTTTCTTCTTCTTTTCCTCTTTTTCTCTTTTTATTTTCCTCTTCTCCTTTTTCTTTTTCTTTTTCCTTTTCCTTTTCCTTTTTCTTTTTTTTATCTCTTTATCTTTTCCTTTTAATTTTCTTTTCCTTTCGCATTTCCTTTTCTTTTTTTCCTTTTCTTTGCTGGAGGGAAGAAGGGGAAGGAGGTAATACTTACACATACACATACACATACACATACACATACACATACACATACACATACACATACACATACACATATACATATACATATACATGCATACATATACATACATACATACATACTTACACATGTATTTGTACATGTACTTATATACATATAGGGGGGAAGCATTAAAGAAGTCATGATCTCAACTGCTTCCCAAACTGAACTTCTGAGTCTGAAATGAATTCAAAGGGGCTGCTTAAATTAATTAAATAATTAATTAGGCAGTCACCTACAACAGACAGAAGCCAGAGGAGAAAAGGAAAGCAAGAGGAGCAGAGGGTTAACATAAAGTTTTTTATCCAGAACTTTTTAAATATAAACAAAACAGTATTTTCTAACAAAGGAAAAATCAAAACTGATTTTGTTGTCATTTTCCTTGCTGGAGCATTTTGCTTCAAATTTCAGTTTTCTCTGTTAATCTGATCAAGTCAACTACTTTATAATCATGTGCGTTGGCTTCTTCCAAGGAGGAAGATGAGGGTCAGTGGAGCTCTTTGGTGCAGAAGATTTACCTGCCAAAAGTTTTCAAAACTGAAATCCTTCACAGGAAAATGTCACTCTCAGCTCTGCCAAGAAATGTCGACACTGTTTCTCTTTGTTTCATTCAGATACAAAGCGACAAAATGTAGCTCCAGTTGGGTGATTTAATTTAAACAAACAAGCCTCTACTCCATGTCAAGGCGCTGATTCAAAACGACAATGCTTGTTTGGTTTCAATCAGAAATGTCAACATTTTTGGTGTGACATTTCTGATTCAAAAGTTTTCGGGACGTGCGTTTGTTTGAGATGGAGGGAGGGGTGATCTGTTTGCCGTAGTTTATTTCTGTGTACCTTATGGATTTGTGTTCCACTGTTTGTGGTAGGAAGCGGGACAGAAAGACCAGGGGAAAAGAAGGATGCATGCAGCCCATTGCCTCTACCACAACACACCAGTTTGAGATTTGCCTCTGCCCAAGCACATCGTTTGCCAGCAGTATGGCAGAGGTGGGTCATGTGGAGAAATCTAAAGGGAAATAATGGCTTGGAATGATTTTTATCTAGGAGATTTTTCCAG